GATCTAAGAATTATTGATTTCATTAGCATTATCTTTCTTTTACTTAAAGACTCCCTATATGCTGTTACATTTATAATGATTTTTAACTTGTTTGAAGCCTGCATCTTCAGTTATATATTGTTAAAATTGGCTTTTTATCCAGTAGCACATGAGATGAAAATTTTTTTTTAGGGTCTTTGAATGGTCATATCTTTATTTCTAATTGAGCTATGATGATAAATTTGGGACCATTTTTTTAATAGTTTGTCAAGATTTCTATGCCTGTATTAAAGGTTTTTAGATATATTGAAAATAAACATTTTTGTTTAGGATTCCTATTTTTATGCTTTGTTGAGTATTTTTATTAGTATCAAAATAATTTTCAGTTTGATTTATACAAGTACATTTTCTTTGGTTTCTAATCAATAATCCTATTTGATTCCTAGGATTAGGTATATTTGTTGATTAGCTAATTATTGGAAATCACAAGCACCTTGATAAAAATTGTCTCAATAATTTCAAGTTAGTAGTAATTTAGGTCTAAGATACTTACCTCCAGTCAGTGACAAAAGCTGCATGGTTGCTAAGCCTTTACTTGGGATAGCCTTAATCTAAACTTTTTCATGTACTGTTAAAATGGATTGTTTTAACATTTTATACTTTATAATTAATACTCCAAACTTGTATAACTTTATAATTTAATAATGCATTTGAACATCTATGCTATTTGATGTTTAGTTACCTAGAACAATTTAGTAATATTTTTTTTAATGTATTTTTGATACTATTTAAACCCTGTGAAATAATGGCATAAAATCAGGTATGCATGATTATATACTGTTTATGTGATTGATATTTTGATAGGACAGCACTATGATGTATTTTTGAATATATAGTGAAAAATAAATAAGTGCCTATGATTGCAGTTAAATATTTGTCATAAAATTTATGACTTGTATAAATATACTTCTGCTAACTTCTTTAAACATTTTCTATTTGTTATGATAGGTATTCTCTCTGACAGATGTAGTCTTGTCAAGAGAAGATAACTCTCCCATAGGTATAGCCTTATATACAGTACATCAATCACATATCACTACAATATTTATATATAAGTATTAATTCTCAGATAGTGAAATATATTTCCAGGCTTTGTAAAAAACATAGTATTCAATTACTCTTCACCTGGTAAACAGATTCTTTACTTTTGGTTTGTGTAAGTTATCATTTTAACAGATACCATCTACAAATGAACTAAACTCACTGTTTGATGATTATTCAATTATAAACTAATAATTTTTGCTTTGTTGGTTTCTTCATGAAGACAACTTAGTTTTTTTTGTTAATTGATTTCTAAAAGTAATTGAATATAGTCTATGTTTTGAAAGGGCATTTTTTCTTCAATGCCTAATTCAGAAGATTAGCATCAAGTATTTATGTGCAGATCTGTGTACTGATTTTGTCTGCATTGAACTATAGATTTGTTGCCGGAAATCTGCTTCGTAAACTTTTGTTTGATTTTATTTCCATATTGTGATTTCTAGTATCTTTCATTATGTCTAGCTTATCTGTTTATATAGAAGTAGGTTATCTGACAGTCTAGATTATTGAATTTCTTACATGTAGGTAGAATGATTGGCTCCCACTACTACTCCAGTAAGTACCTGACTCCTCATGCTATCCTCTACCTTTATAAGAGCCAAATAAGGTGAAAAATGGAGTACTGTTACTATATTTGGGTAGGAGCTGCCCAAACCTCAGTTTCCAGTTTTGGTAGAGTTCAAAATTGTCTCCAAGTCCTTGTGGGAGAAGAATTATTTTCCACATTCCAACCTCTCTCTCATAGGGTGGATGTGGCAAGTCTCTCACTGCTCTCTCACTACTTCCATGGAAAGTGCTCAGATGAACTGCATCTCCTGGTTCTGTCAGGTCTGACCTTCACAGCTAGGATCCACCATGCCACTTACTTAGTAGCAATCCACCCACATTCTCTCTGTATTCCGTCAGCGAAAAGTAAATTCCACTCAAACAGTTTCTTCTCACTGACCACTGTTCTATGGAACAGACGTCCTAGAGGATTTTCCTTCCTTGATCGCTACAATCTTAACCTGTTCAAGTCTAGAGTCAACCGTTATCTTCCTCTCCTATCCATATAAAATACCCCTTATCATAACCCTCTACTTTGAGTGCCCTCCAGGCTTTGTACAGGGTGAACCTTAGTGTAAAAAAAAAGAAATGTAATTTTGGAAAATGTCCATGTTTTGCAGATTGCATCTAATTAATTTTCCCATATTTTATGACTCATTATTATGCCTTTCTATATTCACTAATCTAATTTTACAATTTAATTCTTAGGTCAATGCAAACAAGGTTCTATTGGATGAGAATCTTTTTACTTTTCGTCCAAAATAGTTCCTACTCTGATGTTATTTTTAGTTAGTCTGTTAATGTATTACTGAAGATATAAGTTCATGTAAAATAATTTCAACAATAATGATGATGGTGATGATGATGATTTGCTTCAGCATACTCCTTAGTCTTTTCATTTGTATCTACAAACACATAATCTGGAATTTTGGAAGACTTTGAAAAGGTATAAATAAACTGCATATAAGTCTACTTTTGTTGTGCTTTCTACATTTTAACATTTTTTCTTTGTTGCACAAGAAGTGTGAAACAAATTTAACTTTGAACTCATTTTTCTAAATTCAGAATTTTTCTTAAAGTTTGGAAATAATGTACAATTTCAGTTAAATTGTTTAACCACTGCCTGAAGAAGAAATGCTTTCCAAGTCTATGGGTGGTGTCAGCTGCAGGCCATCATTTTTTATGTTTTGAGGTCTCCCAGAGTAGTCTTTATCTTTGGACTTACTTCCAGACCATTCTTGACATATGCTTGCATATACCACAACATTACTATAAACTTCATGATTAGCTCAGTGATTATTTGATTAGCTTCTGCTGTACTTTTTCTCAAATTAAACATTTAAAGTAAACAATATCCAAGTGTATTTTATATTCAGCTATGATTTTCATCAAAATAAAGTTATTCTTAATGTCTACATAAACACAAAGTTAAGTAAACTCCAAGGAAAGTTAAATTTTACATTATATTTAGTTCAAATTATGAATTCTGTGACTTGAGAGTGCATTTTACTTCATTTTTAGATACAAAAATATGTATACATAAAAGTACATAACCTAATTGTAAAAGAATAGCATTTATTTTACACAACAAATATTTTTCAGCAGAATTTCCAGTATAATTTCCTTTCTTGTTGATGCATTTAATTCAGTGTTGAATATTGATTAGATAGTGAATATTCTACTATGAAAATTCCAGATTATAATTTACTAACTACTGGTAAGGTTAAGGCTTTATTAATCTATTCTAATATTTACACCAGTAAAAATGACATTTTTTATTTCTATATTACACAAACCATTACTAAAAAAAAATTGTTAGATGTTGAATCCTTTGTACTCAAAAAAATAAACACTAACTGTTTTTATGATTTTTAGTATTTGGTTGAAGCAAAAATAATCATTTTTTAACTTTCAAATTTAAAGCAGTATATCTTATCTTAAAATTAAATAATCAAAATAAGAACTATTACAATGTAAGCATTGTTGCCAACAATAAACAAGTCTATTCCTGGAGCATAAAATTCTGGTGTTCTGGAACCAATGAATCCTTTGAAAGTGTTTTCAGCTGCAACTTGGTTGTTGAAAAGCCTTACTTGTTGAGATGTTTTAAAAAGTGGTAATTGTTTGGTGAGAAGTGTCGTGAATAAGCTGATTGAGATAGTTTCATAGTCCAATTTGTTCAATTTCTATTAATTTTTGAGATATGCAATCAGGCATTGCCATGGAAAAAACTAGTCCTTTTTGATTAACCTACTTTAAGCATAAATGTTGCAGTTCTTGCATTTTGTTGATTTCCTCGCAATACTTCTCTACTGTGATGACTTTGCCAAAATTCAAGAAGTTAGAGATAATACTACCAAACAATGGTCATAACCTTTTTTTTTGATGCCATTTTTTTATGGGGATGGATTTAGGGTTTCATCTCAGACCAACTATTGTGCAGAATATCATTGGTTGTTGCATAGAATCCATATTTAATTATGTCACATTGCAATCAACAAATGGATAATTTTTATTGCTCAGAAGGAGTGAAAAGCAGAGTTAGAATGGCTATTTTTTATTTTTATTCAGCTCATGCAATACCTAGTCGTTGAGTTTTTTCTTTTTCCAATTTGGTGGAAATGTTAAACAACTGTTGATTGACCAATGTTTAGTTCTTCTGTAACATTTCATTGTTTTGTCTAGATTGGTTTCAGTAATGGCCCTTAATTAATTGTTGTCAGACACAGGATGTTCTTGAGCATTCTTAACTTTCAGGCTGTTACTTCTGTTAGAAAACTTTTGGAACAAATGTTGAACTGGACAAATGTTTGGTTGATATTGCAAGCAGCTTCTGCTGCTTTTGTTCTATTTTGAACTAATAGTTTATAATCTCTTGGATTTAATTTTTCCCTTTTATACTTTGACTGCTTAAAATAGCCATAAACAGTGAATAGAAGACCATTAGCATAAATCAAAAGAAGTGAATTTTTTCACTTTAAAATCATGTTACACGAACAGAGTTAAATAATATTTTTGTCCCAAATTAAGCATAAAATTTAAAATAACAAATTGGAATTCTTTTTGCATTGATCTATTAAAATTATCATTAGTAAAAGAAATTTTTATGATCCTGTTTGAAATAACCAACCAATGACATAGTTCCTGGTTTCTTCTCAGGTTTTGAAGGTTAAAAAATACTATTAACACAAATAAACTTTTGCATATTTTAGGCATTTTCATTTTCTTGTATAAAAAAACAAAAGAATACTTAAAGAGTATGTTTTTCTTAACATAATGTTTAGTTAATTTATGTTCAAAATATTCATGCTTGTTTTCATATGAAACCCTCTGAGGCCATATTATCTTTTAATTTTTGTTTTTTTTATTTTTAGCTACACATTTCCTTCAATGCAAACTCTTGGCGAGGATCTTGTATGCATTCTTGATCAATTAGAGTAAGTATTATACTTATTATTCTTTAAGCTTACTTATTTTTATGAATTTTGATAGCAATTGTTTTAAATGAATTTGTCCAAATGAAAGCTATAGCAAGCATTTGGAAAAAAAAAACAATATTACAAATCTTGGAGCCTATTTTTCAACAAAGCTATTTTAAAAGTGATGCAAAGTCAATTAGGAATTTCTAGAAATTATTGTCTGGATGAAAACTCAAGTTACTAAGCTCTTATCTATTCAAAATATATTTCTAAAAATTTACTGTAATTATAATAGTAACGGCATAACTGAAAACATTTTATGAAAAATAGTCATTTTACTTTTTATTCTGGTGCATTTTATGTGTGACTAAACTTATTTATATTTCTATTATTTTATTTTGATATTTTTATTCTAAAAATAAACTTTGTCGTGATAAAATCTTTTTGTATTTCAAAATGCTCTAACATAGCATTTTTAACACAGGCACTAATGAATTTGCATTGAATTCATTTTTAAATAATTTTTGATTTAGTTATAAAGTGGTGTTATGTATAAATATAACTGAGCACAACATAATTGGAAAGAAATTGTGACAATTTATGCATGTTAGCCTATTATATAAGATGAACTATATGCAATTTACAATTAATATAAAAAGCCAACATTTATTTTTGAGGTTATGTCAAAAAGCTAGTATCACATTTTGCTTTTGTACTTGTAGGAAAATCAATATTGAACAAATACAAATGTAGCATATAAGTTGGTTTAATTGAAATTTTACTGCCAAGTTTCAAGAATTTTCCAGTAATTTGTTTACAGTTAATTAGAAAACAGTATGATTAAACCTACATTTTTTCTCATACCAAAATCATACCCTAACTGTGTAACAAGGTGAATTAAAAAAACAAAATGAATTATTATTTTCATGAGATATACACATATGAAGATGAGGTGAACATAGTACACTATTTACATTGTTTGGACTATCATCCTCATCTTTGTTGCCATATTTACCACAACATTTCGCCGAATTGATCCCTTTATTTCGCTCACTGGGGTAGACTGTTCTAGTTCCACATGATGGATGTCAGTTATCAGTTATCTCCTGTTAATTCCCCTCTCCTCCTCTCCAAGTTCTCCACTGCCTTAACCAAGTATTGAACTCACACTCTTTGAGTCCTGTCACTGGATGTAACTAACACCTTTATCTACTGTGCCATGTGTCCTTGAGGACATCTGTGTATGAATTTCTGGAATTTATAAACCTAATGTCTTCAGTAACCATTTTTACCAGTGCTCATATTGCAATTTTTGCTGTTATCATTCATGTTTTTTACCAGAGCTCATATTGCAATTTTTATTATTATTGCTTTTCTCTGGCACTCCTTATTACTGGTTCCCATATTGTATTCATTTATATGCTTGGTCAGCTCAGAAGTGTGGCCTTGTGGCCTAGCATATGTGTTGATTCCTTAAGTTTATGAATTTACCAATGATGTTCTTTGTCTATGATTTCAACCTGATTCCACAGAGGGTGGTGATCTCCCTTTTTTCTCCAGATGTGGCCAGCCACACCTGATTTTTCCACTTCCTCATGTGTTACAGATTTTTGGTGTTCTTGTAGCCTTACCTTAAGGGGGCAGCCTGTCTCCCCTTTATATTTCTTTCTGTATTACAACCTGAAAACAAATAATATCAAATTATTAATCTCCTTTTCTGGTATTTAACTATAAGGACTTTGCAATTCTAGTATCTATTAATAGCACAAAGCAAGCTCCAGAATTAACTGTTAAATCCAACATCCATCTGCAATTTCTCTTTTAGCTTTGTAGCAGTTTGGTTATTTGAACCAATTTGTAGCACTAAAATTTCAGAAACATAGTTGAAACTATTATAAAACTTAATAATATCCCAAAATGTTTCCTTACATCATTAAAATCTTGTTCATTTCCATATAAAATTATATTACGACAGTATAAACTATAAAATAATAATCTGATAATCAGACTTGCATAGTTATTTGAAACTGTTGCGGAGTGATTAGTTTGTTTAAATATCAGAAGGTATTATTTTGCTGCATAAATAAAACATCTCCACAAACATTTAAATTTGCTTGCATGGCACAAAGCTGTCAAATACCATAATAATAGACAAACATATTTTCAATAATATAAAGCATTTATCAACACAAATATACAAATTGAATGGTGAAATTACCCAGGGAATTTATACTGATTTTGAAAATGCTTCATAAAATAAATAATATTTTTAATTGCAAATAAAGTGTCTTTGCTTGGTATGTTAAAGATGTATGCCAATGAAGTATTATTTGTAATGGATAAATCAGTTTGTAGTCAAACAAACTGTTTTTAAGCAAATCTATTTTTACTTAAGAATCTTTATATTCAGAAGAAGGTAGAAGTTGTCTACCTTTATCTATTAGTTTGAGTTGTTTAAAGCTTTAAAGGTAAAATACTTTTTTTATCTTTAACAACACAAAAGTTGGAAATTACTTGATGAAAGAAGAAAGTGTTGTTCTTCCACAAAAAGTTCATCGTAGATAAATCTTGAATGTTTGTTGAGTGACAGAATGCTTGAAAGTAAATTGAACATCAAAAGTTGATTCATGTTTAAAAGAAATTTTTAAACGTACACTTCTGAGTTGATTTCTGTATATAAACTATCGAGAATTCCTTGCCGAGCAATCTGTTGAATAAAAATGTGCTGTGAGTGAGTTTTAAGATCTGTGAGCTCTCAAGCTTAAAGTAGCAGGATAAGTTATTATTGACAAAAAGATCCATGTCTGGAAATAAATATCAAAGAGTGAGAAAATGCATTCAGCAGCAGCGTATATGGTAATTAAATTCTCGTTGTCTCACACTAAATGAGATCTGCTTGTGTTGCTGTATTTATTTTGTTTTAGGTCACGTGACTGGCTCTAAAAAAATTTTGGTGGCAAACAAGTTTGTGTAGGCGTTGTACATATTTTTAACATTTATTAATCAATCAGCAATCAGACTTAGATATACTCTCTGTGATCCATTTTTGCACAAAATTTTCACTTGAAAGAAACTACTACACAGAAAGTGTACTGAAATCTTTTTCAACCAATCAAATAGAAATAAATGCTTAAATAGAAAAATCTCTCTTGGTAAAAATATATTGTGAAAATAGCTTATTTTGCATTTGATCTACCATTCAATCTGTAGTTATTTTTTTGCTGTTGTTGTTTAGAGATGTTTAGCAAATGTAATATACTTGGGAGAACAAACTTATAAAGTTTAGGAAGTGTTTTTCTTAAAATAACAGCTATTTATAATATGTAGGATTTAGGGGTTTATCCTTTAGTTATTTTGAAGAAACTCTCTTTAATCAGATTTAAAGATTTGTAATTCAATTAGTTGAAAGAATTCTCATTTCTTTTTGTCTTTAACACTTTAGCAAGTTACTAAAATATACATTAAGGTAACTTAATCCAATATTTCTAAATTTGCTGCAGCACACGTGATGTAATCTGAAGTGAAATTAGTTCTGTTGTAAAAGAGCAAGATTATATGCGAAAAATATAAGCTGAAATTTATAATAAAGTTCATGTATAACTGTCAGCTACAAATGGAGAATATACTTGGTTCTACAGTGTTGTGATTGTTAGAACAACACCCTTTCAGAAATAAATTTCATCTTATAGAACAAGAAAAAGTCATTGGAGTGCAAGATCAAGGGAATTGGAGAAATGGGGAATGATAATCACATTTTTGGAAACCAGAAACTCAAATGACTATTGATATGTAAGCAGGTACATTATCATGGTGGGATTCATTCATTTACCTTCACATATATGCTGAATGCTCTCTTTCAACTTCCTCAAAACCTCAGACCTCACTGTAAAACTGACATTTACAGTTTAACCAGAAAGGATGAATACCTTATGAATGAGGCCTTAGATATAAAAAAGAATAAAAAAATTAATATTCACTTGACATTACTATGAACTTGATATACATTTTTGGCTTTGGCAATTATAGGAATTTTCTTTGTGATGGCGGCTGCTTTGTTTTGGTTATAAACATAAACCTGGTTTTATCGTCTCTGGCTTTGAGTTCTCTGCAGACAGCAATATTCATTGCTCAATAGTATTAGCATAAATTTTGCAACAGTGTAGGCTCTGACTCATTACACTCAGTAATGGTCTCTCAGACTTATCTGCTAATGGTCACTCATACTGGTATAATAAATCTCTGTAGCTTCTGAAATGAATTTACTATTGATAGCTTAGATTTTTAAACAAATTTGCTAACCATTGTTTTATAATGGGTATTTGACTTTCAAACTACACCAGCAAGAGTACAGTAATTATAAAATTCACAGGATCTAAATTTACCTATCTATTTTGTTAATATGTATGATGTCCTGCTTGATTAAACTGTTAGTTAACAAGCTATTATTGGCATATTTGGTTTAAAATATTTGTCCTTAGTGTTTGGTGAATTAAAATAGTGTACTTATCCCATTTGAAGAGACCACATACTTCTGGAGAAAAATGATTTCCAGCCAGAGGTGAAATTGCTTTTCCTTAGGTGTTAGTATTGGAAAGTCTGATATGTGAAATATGGGTTTTTAGTAGCATATTTGATAAATTAGTTGATATCAAGACTAGTCCACCTGTGACCAGTAGGGAACCTGACTGGGCACCCAGGGCAGTGCTTTGTGACCCTTCCTAGCTTATCAACATTTACTTATTTTCTACCTACATTTATATATGTTACAAATTAAACTAAGCAAAACTATTAAAAGATGAAAAATTTTTTGCAGATTTTGATGTTGTTCTTGGATCTTCTTCGTCTAAATCTGTGAATTTGTTTTTCTCATGTTAAGCCTTGAAAAAATACTATATATAATTCACTATTTTTTATCCATAATGTTGAATGTATTAAAACTTTGATATTTCATCAAGAAAAATCTCAAGTTGATGTTAAAATTGCCTCATGGAATGATCTATTATGACCTGTTTCTAATTTGTATTTAAATACATTGTATTTATTTTGAATTTTTATTGTTGAATTGTTCATTCATATTGCATATGATTCATTATTGTGCATAATTAGGTTATAATAAAATTTGTATTTTGTATGATACTACCTGATGAAAATTGAGATGTAGGGGAACCATGTATCATAGAATCTGGGCGGGGGTGGACAAGAACCTTGCATCAGCCTTGGTGCATATGTTTACACATTTTATTTAAAAAATAATTTAAATGTACTAATATTTTAAACCTTTTTTTACCTCATTGAAATTATGTTGTGAATATAATACAAGAGCCCTCCTGTTTATAAACTGGATAGATTTATCAGGTTTGTTTGTAAGTACCTAATAAAAACATTTTATAATATTACTGTATTTTATCTCTGACACTGCCTTGCTGACTTGTTGCTTAAGAAAAATTCTAAAAAAAGTATATTTATTTACACAAAAGTTACTTCAAATCTTTTGATTGATGTAACAAAAACTTCTGTTATAAATATTTGAACATTTCATTGAGGTTTTCTCTCTCACCAATGAACCTTGTTGATTTAATCTGTTTTTGACATATTCTTATGTCTTGCCATTCCTTTACTCTTTTTGAAGTTTTACCGCTCAGCTTGAACAATTTGCAGTGCTACTACTAACTAAGTAAGGAAAACTCATTTTAAAAACTAATTTCTAATTATAGAAATTGAGCATAGTATCTTATGGCTGTACAAAATTTAATGCAACAGATTATACAGCCCTTATTTCGATTAACCACATTACTTAGAACAATTACTTTGCTTTATGTAAATGTAAAAAAATCTTAGTTGGCAATAATACAGATGGCTATAAAAAGGCACAGTTGGTTATTTAATCTAATTTGTTTAATGCATTTACTATTTGTGTCGTGTGGCAATAATTGAAAGTAAAATCATGCACAAAAATAAGTAACTAAGTAATTGTTTTAAGTTTTGAATATTGGTGCCAAAATTTAATGAAACCTTAAAGTATTGATTATTAAAGCAAAGTAGTTTTTACAAGGCAAGGTGACATTGAGTAGCTACAGTAATGTGTAATAGATTAACTTCTGAGATGGCAGAATGTTCACCATTTGTGTTTATACACAAGCTTTTTTTTTAAATCTCTGAAAGTTCATAATTTGAACATTAGTAAATAAAGGTGTGCCTGTATAATCCTAAAGCATTTTTTATATTTAATAAAATTTAATATTTATGCTGTTTTCAGGGTTAAACAAGTGGTTGCAATTGGTGAAGGTGCAGGAGCCAATATTATTGTTAGATTTGCTGTGAGTATTCATATCACTTTTAGTTATAAAATTATGGGTATGTATTTGTGCATATTGGAAAGTTTGACATCTAAGGAGGTGCTGAAAAGTTTTCAGCCTGACTCACTTTTTAAAATCTATACAAATTAAGCTTTTTTGGAAGGGCTTAGTTGGACTGGGAAACAGTGATGTAGCTAGAGTGTGCTCCATCTGGGGAAGCCCTTGAGTTTGCTTCCCGCCTATCCCCCCACAAAATACAACATATTGCACAGTGCTTTAAATACACACCAAACATTCATAAACTTTAAAATAACAGTTAAACAAAAAGCAAAATCAACATATAGGGGGGAAAGTAAAAAAAAAGTGTAAAAAATTAGGAACATTTTTATTTCTAAAATGAAAACTTTTTACAAAGTCTCTTTTCTTGCTTTTTCTATACAGGCTTATGCAGCAAATTCAAAAGTGCTGCCCTCATAAAAGTGTTGCCTGGGGTGGACTGCAGCCTCACCCCCACTCTAGCTATGCTACTGCTGAGAACCATTCACCACCTCCTCATATCTATTTGTTTTCATTATAATTATTTTTTCATGGTACACTGAAAAAGGATCACTTCTTTATTTTCTACTTGGTAAAAGAAACTGAACATGTTTTTTATTTGCAGATTGTTCTTCTTTATGTACTCTGTCCCTTCGGGATGTAGGCAATCATGGCTCTCTAGAGCTTCTATACCATGTAACTCTTAAGAAATTTTGTCTTTTTGTTATTTTTCCAAAACCCTGTTCCTCCATCTATTTACTCAAGCACACTAAGTATGTAATACACTATTTTCCTCTGTCTCACTTGCCTTCAATTTGTCTTGTGAGTATCAGATTTCCCAAGCACTCCCTCCTCATGTGCCCTAGAAACCTCAACTCTCTCTTCCTGAAGTTAAGTATAAGTTTCCTTTTTGTTTCAATTTTCTCTAAAACTTCATCATTGCTCACATCTTTGGTCTATGGTATCATCAGAATCCTTCTGTAGAACCACATTTCTGTTGTTCCAAGTCTACTCTTCATCTTTGAGGAGATTATCTAGCACTCACTGTCATACAGGAGGACAGATATCATGTAACAGTTTACTACACTTTGCAGATTGTTATATAATTAAAGGTGTGTATGTATGTATGTATGTATGCATATGTATATATATATATATATATATATATAAAATTAAACAAAACACCCACTAACTGTAGCAAAGGAAGTGATGATGTGTCTACAGTGAGATTGAAAGAGTTTCTTCTAATGTGAATTCCTTTCAGAGAACCTGATTATTGGCCTGAAGAATTTTATACTGTGTTTGCTAGTGAGAGAAAGGAATAATGAGGATTAGATTTAAATGTTTATTTTAGCATGTTGTACAGAGATGTTGAAGGATGGGTGGAATGTCTGTTTCAGTGACCGATCGTCAGGATAGCTGTCAGGTGTAAGGATAGTGGTAAGAGTTGACCTAATTCTTGTGTGGGTTTCATGTGAAGTCACAGGGTATGGTTAATCAAGGTCACGGCAGGCTATTTTCGTATGCCTTGTAAACAAGTTGAGTAGGCCAGGCAACAAGATGACGTCACGGTGGTGACGTCACCACCGTGACGTCACGGTGGTGTGTTGAGTGGGTTGTACGCTTGCAGAGTTGGAGTTGCTTGGTTGAGAAGTTGGAGTTGCTGTTTGTGGAATTGGATTTGCTTTCTTGCAGAGTTGGAGTCATTTGCTTTGTGAAGTTGGAGTGATTTGCTTGTGGAGTTGAATTTGCCTAGGTGATAGCATTTGTGACAAGGAAGGCTTGTAGCTTGGTGGTGCTGATGTGGAGATGTTATCAAGCCGGTGTTTGCCAAGGTAGCAGTATTGTTGGTGATGAAGGCTTGTAGCTGGGTGGAGATGTAGTTGAGATGTTATCCTGGCAGTATTTTCTGAGGTGATAGTGTCATTGATGATGAAGGCTTGTAGCTGGGTGGTGTCAAAGCTGGATAGTTGTTTGCTCATTGCTGGTGTTTGCAGAGGTGATGAGGTCAAGATGTTATCAATGCGAAGATGGATAGTTGAGATGGTTAGCCAAGCCTGGGAATGGTAATGGTTGTTGAGAGGTGAAGTGATGGTCACAGCAGCAGGACCCCGTGTGATGACTGGTAGCCTGCTGGGTTGCAACTGCTGGTGTTGTTCTCAGCAACCTGCTTTTTAGCAGGTCTGGTAGCCCACAGGGGTATCTCTTTCTCTGGTGGGAATACTCATGATTGGCTACTGCTGAAGCTTGCTTTGTATGTGATGTGTAGAGCCTAATGCACAAAAAACGACTTTTGTTATTTTGTTCTCTGCCTTCTTGTTGTTCACATCCAACCAGCATGCAGAATGAATCAGAAAGAGATCTGTGACAGACTATAACAATGAATACTACTCTCACATATTGATGATAAACATCTGAAATCTGGACAATCAAAAACTGTTCTAGTTAGTTGGCAAATTTTCATTTTTATTTGTTGTATTCAGTAAATATTGTGCATTGGGTTTACTGTATAAAAATTATCATAATGGAAAAGGAATTAATTCTCTGGAAGACTGCAAAAGGCACTAAAGTAATTCTTTGTAGAGAAAAATAAAATTTTGAAGAGGTTAGAATTATAAACTTGTCTAAAAATGGATGAAATTAGTAGATCAAAACAGGAAATATGTTGTTGAATTAAGTTACTGTTGAAAACTTATTTTTGTAATCTAGTAGAATATTTTTTGCAAATAAATTTAACTATTATATTTATATTTAAATAAATATAAAAATGAAATTATAAAAAAGATTTATGAGATCTTTAGGTATGAATAGATTTATAGCATTTAAAATTTCTCCAGCTTTTAATGTTACTTTTTATTTTTGTACAATAATGTTCACACATACAAGGCCCAAGAGCCACTTGAAGTAGAGGTTTACAGATTTAGAGGTAAGAGGCACAGTTTATGAGGATATGTAGGGAAGATAATGGTTAACTTGAGATTTGAACAGGTTAAGATTATAGTGATTGGAAAAATATCTTCTTTTGAGTCAGTTCCACAAAGTAGTGGTTTGTGGGAAGAAGTTGTTTGAGGAAAACTTACATCACACCAATAGAATATGAAAGGAATTAAGCTGGCTTGTTATAATAGCAGGTCTTTACTATGAAAATTAGAACTGGTGGAATTAAGGAATGTAGTTCATCTAAATACTTTCCATGGAAATAGCAGTAGAGAAGTGAGAAGGCTTGTGATGTTTCATCTGGTTGAAAGGGGTTTGTAAGGAGGAAAATAATTAATCACTGACAAGGCTGCGTAGAAGCTTTTGGACTACCGAGACTTGAAAGTGAAGACTGGTCATCTCTTGCCATTATATGGCAGCAGTACTCCATTTTCAACCTGATCTCTACTTAATGGAGTGGTACAGGAAACTGACCATTTTTTCCAGCATCTTTAGCAGTTGATTGTATGTATGAGATCTAGGGTGAGCTTTTAATGTTACTTTTTATTTTTGAGGGTGCCCTCTAAGAGAGCACATGTTCATCATGATAGGTGAAAATTCAGGATCTGCTCAGTGATGATGGAATGCTACTAGTTTGATTTTTGTGGCCAGTTTTTCCCCAACTGAGCTAGAGTTAGAGGAGAGATCAACTGCCTAGCTCTTGTCATCTAGAATTTTGGATGTGCGCTCATATATTGTTATATCAGCAGCATAGGTATCCACAAAAGTTTGGAGCTTACTCTTAGGCAGATAATTTTTCTTCGTTAAAAATTAAATCAGAGAGTTTTTATTTTAACAAATGAATAATTAAAACAGGACATATTTTTATATGAATAAAATATATAATAAAATTGCATATCACAATAGTCATTTTCAAAATCTCTTCAAGATAAATATTGTAGCATTGCACTTCAGACCAGACACTAGGTTTGTTTGCAATGTGCAGCTGGTTCCAGTCAAATGCTTGTGGCTTAATATAAGGAAAATAATTCTTTGGTCAGATTGTTACCCTAAAAAGAAACCATGAGATAAAATTGTAGCAGTTGGAAAATTTTATTCAGTTGCTACATTCTTGTAAGGGCCGCTTGTAGTTGAGTGAAATGAGGGAGTGAACAGTCTAAGTGGCATATACTTTCATTTTGCATGGTGGATAAGTGCCTGTCAGTATTTGTCTAAAAATAAGTCATTCATCAAGAACCTAAAGTCTGTTGCCATGGCTTGCAGTCTACTCCACCCAGTTGATCTTCTTTGTCACAGTTGGTTAACCTAGTTCTTGACTCTACTCGGCTGTTCCTCTTTGTCAAGAAGGTAACTATAAAAACAATTTCTGTAACATCCTGCAGATGTTTCCTTAACACGATATCAGCTGATAACTGATATCGCAACAATATTAAAATTTGAACAACTGAAATGGATTCATAACCCATGCCCTTTCTTTGAAGAGACTAGCTATTGTGTCTCTTGATAAGCTTTATTCATTGGAATTTCTTATGGAGTCCATGTACCAGTGAATAAAGATATACAAGAAAAACTGTTATGGACAGATAACAAAGGCATTAATTTCAGAATGTTAAAGTATATCTACTTTCTGATTTTAAGAATGTTAAAGTATATCTACTTTCTGATTTTAAGAAACGTAAACAGATATATTAATAAAAGAAGCATTTTTCTCCTGTTATTGCAAATTTTCTTAGTTACTAATTTTTATCAAAAAATGCCACATTCTTATTTGCCGTTTTGTTGACTATCTGCTTCTCTTTCCTCTAAGCTTTATGCTCATTGTCTACATTGAAGTTGAGGAAATGCCTAGGCATCTGCTTAGCAATGTTTACTCTTATGGAAGTAATATGCACATGCAAGTTTAATGCTGGTAGCCTTTCTTGATTGGTGCATGCCATTGAAATCATTGATTTTCATCTTGATTAGCTTCTCTCACCACTTAAGTTTATTGTCTGAAAAGTTTTATTAATCAGCAGTCTATTTTCCACACAGTGAACATTTATAATATTTTATGACTACAAATGGCTTTACTGTTGTTTGTATTTATAATGAAACAATTCTTCTATTATTTAGGGTATTATAGCTTTGGACTGAAAAAAAAAATTTTTATAAAGATAATTTTTGTTGTTTCAAAGTAAAACTAATTTAAAAAAGAAACTTATTTTTGAAAAGCTAACTGATCTTTGCCTTAACATATGTACTATTACATAATAATTTATAACTGTTTTATTCAGTTGTATTCGCTATTAATAAAGAAGTATTGGTTGAATTTATTACACTTTTTTAAAAAATGAGTGTGTTATATATCACATTGTTTTCATTTTTAATAGAGAATATGCCAATAGTTAAAAGCTAACTAAAAAGAATAGGTACCACATGAAAAAAGTGAAATAAAAATAATAATAATAGTTCTAAAAAGTGTAATAAAAAGAAAAACAGTTGCTGTGAAATATAAAAATCTGAGATTAATAATTACATCATTTTATGAATTATTAGGATTTAGTCTTGTCTTCATTTTATCACAATATTATAAGGGAGAAAACAGCTATCTAAATATTAGATATTAAGAGAATTGAAAAGTCTTAATTTGAGATGAGGTGAGAGATAAGCATAATAGGCTATATCTCTGGTGGGGAAAAGAGAGCATACTGTTCTCTGTGGAATTATGTCAACATTAAATAAGGAATCATGTTGGAAAATTGTAAAGAAGCAGCATATATGAGTTTGTCAAGAGCTGCATATATAAACTATGCTATATGGGAACAAATGTTCAGGAGAGCTAAACAATTACTCAATGTATTTTTAAAATTTTATAAAAAAGTAGTGAACTACTGCAGATGGCAAAGAATCCCAGGGTTGTGCATATTTTTTGCAATGCTAGAATAAAATCAAGAATAAAATAACTTACCTCTAGTGCAAGCAAAGATTTGAATGTGTCTTGTGGTGTAAACTGTCCAATGGAGAAAGAAATGGTGGCTTTGCGGATTACATATTTAAAATAGTTAGATATTGGAGTAAGATGCTCTTTTGATGCCACTAGGCAGTGTGAAAAACGATGGTTGACTGTTGTGGTGAATTGGCTACAAGTGTCGCTGGCAAAACAGAAAAAAACGATTACGGTTGACTGCTGTGTTAAATTGGCTACAAGTGTGGGATGAGACAGACAGAAGAAACTGATTGCAGGCATTAATTGCTACAACAAGTTTAAAGCATTTTTTTTTGCTACACATATGTTCTGTATATATGTTTTTTCAGTTTAGTTCAAGGATTTCTCATATTAGCATGATTTTCTTTAATTCTTTTGTTTGTCATAATTTTGGTAATGCTTTTATTTTTATATGGAATCTAAATTCACAATGTTGATCATTCAACATACATTTAAAAATTCATTGTATATTTATATTTTTTGTCATAATCTTTTGAAGGGATTCATTATTTTTTTTTAATGAAACTTATTGCAGATGGTTCATCCTGGAAGAGCACAGGGTATATGTCTTATTCATTGCACAGGAACCACTGCTGGATTTATGGAATCTCTTAAAGATAAGGTTTGTATAACAAATATCTTCTCTATTTAGTTACATGTTTGTAAAAGATTGAGACTTTTTGTATGTACTCATATGTGTCTGTTAGGTGTCTTGACAATCTATGGCATATTAAGTATAGTCTTTAATGATGCAAAAAGTTTTGGTAGTAGTAGTAGTATTAGTTGTTAGAAAACTGTGCGTCATTTGAAACATATAAAGTCGTAATGAATTATGACCCATCATTCTGCATAATAATTTTTAACTGTAAAATAAAATGTATTGGGTTGACCCAAACATTTTTCTGTTTGCTTTTAGAAAGCATTATGAAGAGAAAATAGCCAACATACTTAAAATAGACAAGTTAAATATTGAAAGTAATTTGCACTAGCTTGTTTGTGTTATTAGTAATGTGGTTGAGTTGACAATCACTTAATTCTGACTCTAGATAAAATTGTCTTCCATCAACAAAAATATAACCTTGTGATGAGTGGGTGAAAACAAAAAATTGAAATTAAATTCAATCAATGCTGAACAAAAGTTGTGGTTTCAATAACCGATGAAATAATTATTTTTAGCAAATGATACAAAAATGTGAAGTGAAATGGATATTTTTTAATGAACAAGAAACTACAGTCACAGAAAAAAGTCATACTAATGCTGTGTGTGTGTGTGTGTGTGTGTGTGGAAAGAAGTGGTTTGAAAGTGAGTTGAAAGAAGCTGTTTTTATTGGTTGTAAAATAATTGTTTATTAAATCTGAATTTGGATTTGTTTCAAGTTAATACAGTACCCTTGAATTGTGGCCTTCACATAAGTTAAAGTGGTGGGGAAAAAACTTAACACAACGATATTTCAGTCTTTCAGAGAACCAAACAATTGATTCAAACCAATTGTTCCCACTAAGACCAATAAATTTAAAGTAAAAATTGGAAACATAATATTCCATAAGGATAATGATAGGCCACATGTTTCTTTAGTGATCAGGCAAAAATTATCCTAGCTTTACTGGGAAGTTTTCACTCATTGCTGTATTCAAAAAATAATTGTATTTTGGGATTAGCGTTTGCTCCAGTCCAAAAAATACAGTCTCCGGGGAGATTGCAAATGACACTGGAACATTTTATTGCTGAGATATTCTGAGAAGATGGAATTATGAAGTTGCCTGTAATATGGCAGAGTGAAAAAAATAGTAAATATGTTCAGTAATGTTGAAAATAAAAATAAAAATTCATTTTATTTTTACTTAATGAACTCAATGAATCATTTTGGCCACTCATATTTTGGGTTTTTCATTTGGATCATAGGGTACTTTTTTCTAGAAGTTGTTTTAATGTTGATAGCCTTTTTTTATAACAATTTTCCATGGCTGGAGAATTTTTTTATCTTCTTTTGGATATGTGGAAAATGTATTTGTAAAAACTTTTGTAAATTGCATTCTTTTTGTTAAAAGTTGATTGCTTTTGTAAACAAATTCTTTAATTTCTGTTTCAGTACAACCATTTCATTTGGTTTAGAAATTTGCTTTAAAATTCTAGTGAAGTGATAAGTAGTTAATAGTGAGGCTGTTTAACTTTAGGCACCTGTTGAATAGCAGTTGATAAATGTATTCACAATTTTGGCACAGACGAAATGATTTTAAATACTATTCTATTAAAGACTAAAAGAAAGCAAACTTCTTTTAGAAACACTACAACCACAATCAAAAGACATTGCTAACAATTTGGAACAGATGTTGTAATCTTTATGCACATGCTGATTCTTTAAACACCTATTATAAGAATATTATATTTCATTATAGTAGCTGAATCAGTTCTTACTGATATGGCAGCATTAACCATAAAAATTCTTAGACTTGTTATCTAAAGACAGGGCATAACAAATTGAATGCTACAGATACTGACCATATATTTTGGTTGGTTTTCTTTCTATCTATCAAGATGCACTATTGTAACAGCTGATATTCTTTGTACTGTTATGGATTGCTAAAATACATTGCTGAGCAATATACTGCTAAATTTTGAATGCTCTACAAATCTGTAAAAGAGTGTGTGTGGGTGTGTGTGTGTGTGAGCACATATACTGGTTGCCTAATTAGAAAGCAGTATAGCCATCTATGGAGAGATGAAATTGCTATTGTTGATATAGCAAGTGAAAATATAGAATTATTCAACATATTTAACTGCAGTGACAGACAATGATATGAAGATAAATTTCAGATGAACAATATTTTCTGAAGAATACCTCTATTAAAAATAATCTACTGCTCATCTTTATTGTGATTATGATCAAACACTATCTCCACCTGTGGTAGAATGTGCACTCACATAACTTAGCTCTCTCCATAGTGTGTGGTCTTAAGATGCTTGGTTTAATGAATTAAGGTTAAACTCTGACCAATTGGAGAAGTTATCATGTTACCTTTTGATCTGCCTTCCTTCTACTTGTGCCAGTTATCATTCCTTCTAGGCATATTGACAAACCTGTTTTTTTTACGACATTTAAGTTTCAGTGTTTTACTTTTCATGAGAGGGACAGTCAGGGTTAATTCATTTGTTTCTTAGAAGAGTTTGAATACTCATAGATGTGAAAATTGATTGTTGGTCTTGCATTCCATGATGTAATTTTGAAATGTTTCAACTCTTTTTTTTTTTTTTTTTTTTTTTTTTTTTTCTACCTATTTTGTCATTTAACAATTTTTGCGTTTTATGTTTTCATTAAAAGAGCTGTTATAACTAAGCATAATCAGGGCCATCTTAACAGCATTATGGGCCACTGGATAAACCAGTATGCTGAGGCCCATTCGACAACTCACAGGAATAAAAAGTAAATGGTTGATAATATTAAACATATTTATTTTATTGGCACTTCAACAAAACTGGGGTTAAAACATAAAAAACATGCTGTACAGCAGCAACTAATCAACATGATAAACATTTGAACAATACATAAGGCTTGAAAAACACAATAATACTCAGTAAGCCACACAGATTAGATGGCACAGTATGAAATTACTATGAACTTCTTATAACAAGCATTTGCAGCATTTCTTTTCAGAGAAATGCTTTATTATTGGCTTGAAGTCAATGGTCTTCAGGAATAGGATGTCATTTTCTATGCACATGAATGAAAGCCAGTTCAAATGATGCTGCCTCATTGTGCTACAAAGCAGATTTTTTAATAAGTTTCAGGGAGATTCTTTCTTTGTCAAGCACACTTATATAATATAAACCTACATCCTGGTGTGGGATTAAATATTTAAAATATATATTTCCAGGTGAATAGCCCTTTCAGCAAAAATGAAACATAATGTTTTGAGTGGAGCACAGAAGACAGAGAAGGAGAAAACTTCCAAATTAACATTGTGGCTCAACACAGATGCAACGACAACCACTTATACCATTCCTTCAGATATAGCATCCACATCAGCATTCACTCCTGCAATGTCAGCCATTAGTACTGTTCCTTCAGATATAGCACCCACATCTACATCAATTCCTGCTACAAATCATTCAGTTTCAGCAGACATATCATCATTGCCTATTGCTTCAGCTGCTGCTGGTGACATTTTATAAAAGGAAATACCCAAATCTCTAACAGTATATGAGTTTGCAATCCAAGAGACAGATCCAGGTCTATGGAACATTAATGATACTAATACAATAGATTTAGCCATTTCTGGTGTTTTCTAAGTCAAAAGGGAACATTCTCCCACTTTATTTTTTATTCAAGAAACAACTTAAATGGATCTTTCCATATTTTCACTAATATGCTATATGTAGCTTGTAGTAATTTCTATTTTTGGTATTTTCCTAAAAAGGGGCTTCTGTAACACAAATCACTTAACATAAACAGATTAGCATGGGGCCCCTATGCTTGGGAACCCCAAAGCAAGTACGCATTGGGCCCATGTGTTAAGATGGCTCTGAGCATACTGTTTTAAAATAAATGTTTGTTGGTATGAGATAGTGTAGTATCTGATCATATGAAGTTAGGGGACATCATTTATATTTACTGTGGTATTTAAAGTTGTTTGTGACATGCCAATAACTTTTCTTTTTTACTTAGGTGATGAACTGGAAATTAGACCACATAGGTATGAACCCCACTGCAGAATCCTACTTGATGTTGCATCGATTTGGCTCGGTAAATATGTTTTACAATTTTTATTTTTATATTTATATTTACTGTTTATCATATGCAGGTTTTATATATATATATATATATATATATATATAAAATGTATACATATATATTTCTACTGTTATCATTTTGTTCATTTGATAGTATAAAGTAAGAAAGGTAGATTATCATTAAATTATTGGATAATTACCCTTCACTAGTATTTATAAAATAAAATTTTTTTTTTACCGGCATTATTTTTATTGTCAAGAAGCTTACCTTAGAATTACATTCACTCCCTTATGCATTTAGGAGTTAAACTGGTCCTTGCTGCTCTTTGTTTCTCCTATCTTTTCATTTATTATTTGGGTTTTCTTTTTGTTTTCTTTTCTCTTTTCTTATTTTCTTCTATTTTTCTCGTATCTCTTAAATTTTTTCTTTTCTGTTAATCTTTTTTTCTGCGTACATTTTACCATTTGTTTATCTACTTTGTTTCATTTAGTCTTTCTTTTTTTAAGAGTCATTTAATCATCTCTGAAATGATCTTCATGTCTACATCAAGTTGCATATGATGTATCCTAAAAAATGTTTTCTATGGATTTATTACCAAATATAACAGGTTTTAGGGTGTGGTTGGCTTGTTTAAATACTTTATTAATGTTTTAAGATTTTTATAATAAAATTATAATAAATGCTTAAACATTTAAACTCTTAAGTTATAAATGTGATCATAATTTTACTAAAATTTGCAAGTTCCATTTAAAATTCTGTTGAAAATCAAATATGAATAAACAATGGAATTTTTAATGTAGTAATTTTGAATATTGACAAATTATTTCTTTTTACTTTTTACCTTGAATTACAGGATCAAAACAAAAAAAACTTTACATTCTGAGTTGAATTTTTTAAATGAAACTGCTAACATTAAACCTAACCTAATAAGGTTTTAACAATTCACTTAATGATTTTAAGTTTTTCAGAAACTATATATTTAAACTCTTCAAACACTACTAGTCATAAATTGAAAGTGATTTCATCAACTACTTTTTATGCTGTTGAATTTTTTTTCAATTCATTTACATGAAATAATAAATGTGAAGTGAATTTCTTATTCACTTTTTTTATAAACTAATGAAATATTTTCTTGAATGTAAATAAAACAAGTTTAATTGTGAATAACTGATTTATAGAAGACCTGCTTAGAAAATATTTATTTAAAGCCTTTTAAATGCATTTGGAATTAAATGACTGTCTAATATAAGCAACTAATTGTTAAACAATTTTGGAAAGTAAATTAATCAGCAGCTTACCATACATCTCAGTTTGAGAAGTTTGTCATGGTAATATAAACTATCACATATTTATTTTTATTTTTTTTAACCCCCATCATACATGTGACAATTAGAATTTCATATACAGAATCATGTCATTCAGTTTGATATCTTATTATTTACCAACAATTGTCATTATTCATCTAGAACCAGATGTACTTGCTATTTGATATATTTTTGTAATTATGTTCAGCTAATATTTTATACATTGTATATATTATCACCATTTGCCTTTGAAATTTACATCTTATGCTTCATTATCGGTGTTTTTTGTGTACTTTATTGAATTTTATGAACAATTTTTTAAAATCTATTTACATTTGAGATATCTAATTTAATACTATGTATACTCAGCACATAATATTTAAATGTTTCATGCATATGATTATATATTGCTTCTATATTATGTATTTTGTTTGATTCTGGATACTGCTTTCAGTATTGATGAATACAAATACACATAATCTCATTGATATTTGAAACTTGACATGCTTCATTTACATTATCATTTGCAATCATTATAGTTTACATCATTATATTTGTATGCTTATATTTTACTTTATCCTTATAGCTGATAGCTAGAGTAATTTGTATATGAACAATTGCTTTCATTTTATTTTGCTCTCTTCAAGCATAAGAAATCTATTCTGCACAGATCTTGGCAGTGTTAGTTGTAGGTAAAAAGATATTTGTTATTAAATGTAAACAATTTATAAATTTATGTTTTGCATATGCTAAAAACCATTTGATTACTTCATTACTTATAGTTTGAAAATGACTCCAAATATGAAAAAGATGAGAGATTGAGTGTTTATGTATTGAATATAACAAATAGCCACTTGTAGGATTCAAATGAATTTAGCAATTGATCCAGCTCCCCTTTATTTAACTCCTGAAATGCTTACAATATACTCTTACCTCATCAAATGTTGTTTCATTCCTGGTTAATTTATGATTTCCTGAATATCAAAATAACAAGTAATTTCAGATTTATTAGTTTTTAAAGCATTAACTATTTTCCAAAGAAGACAAAATTATATATAATCATTGTTTGTACCCTTTACATTTTTATCATTAAACTTTGATAAAAACTTTTAAACTTGTATCATTAAATTAATACTTTTCTGTTAGAATATTTAGTTATAATTATTCTCATTTAACTTCTGTAACAATATAATCTTCTAGTTTAAATTAGATTTAGTTGAACTTCAGTAAAGCTTGTGTAATTATGTAAAGTATCTTTGAGCAAATAATTATTTCCCTTATAATGCATTTATTATATTTGAAAGTGAAACATTTCTTTTCAAAACTCTTTCCTCTGAAATATATGTCATTGTAAGTCAGAGAGATCAAAGAAGTGCAACAATCCCATTGCTGGTCTTGCAGACTAGTGAGATTCCTAGCTATGTACTACACTCAGCACTCAGGTATACCCATACACTTTCCACAGCGCTAGTTCTATTTTTCCTTTCCATTCTTTTAGCCTCTCAATTTGCTTTCAGACTTCAGTTAGCATTTTCAGATATTTTGCCAATAGATTTAAGAATGTTTTGATTCTTACATCTAGACTTTAGCTTTGTTTGTTACACTTTAGTTTCCTTTTTATTACTTCTGTTTTTATTATTATTGACACTTTTGTTTCTTCACTTTGATTTCTATACTTGTTGTAGACACAGACTTCTGAGAAAAAAAGCAATGTAAGAACCTTGGCCAGTGCATGGTGTTGGCTAGGAATGCTGACTGAGTGCCTGCTTCAAGCCATACACCTCAGGAATGGTGACCAATATTCTTAGTTCCCTGTCGTCACCGCTGCTGCTGCTTGTTGGCATGGACTACAGTCTCCAGGCCACTGGCATGCTGCCATCGTTGCCGTTGCTGCCATTGACATTGTTGCTGCTGCAAAACCTAGGCTCACTACTGTTCAGTACCTAGAATGTATGCATGGGTGCTTGCAGGCTGACTTTGTTCAAATGACCAAATATTTTCTGCTGACACATGTTCTATGTTGTGAAAAGGACTTCAACTCTCATGCTTGACCAAATATTGACCAAATCTTAACAGTTGCTATGAATTTCACTTAAACTTTAGACATTGACCATTTGTTGGAAGGGTTCCACTACTACCCAAAGTGCCAAGAGTAAATTTTGTATTTTGATATTTCCTTATTTTTTTATTAGAGTAGTTAGGTTTGCGAATAATTATCTAGGGTTGATAGAATTACTAGTTGTCTTCTTTCTGTTACTTAATCATAATCACACAATCTGGAGTATCTAAAAGTCTTACAAAACAATTGCAAATTCTTCAAATCTATGTCATCTTCTTTTTGCATTTCCTTAGGAAAAATCAGTAGATATTTAATTATCCATGCTTTTTGGAAAATAGTGAGTGATTTTCATTACTGAGGCTCCAGTTTCCAGTTCTTTATTTGCATTAAAAACTGTCATTTTGTTATTTTTATTTTACTTTTTTTGCTAAGTGAAAAAAATCTGAATGAAAACAGATTCTTTTTATTGCAGTTATAAATTTTACTGACAAGTCATCACAGGTTTTGTTACAATTATGTTTGGATTATCATGCAAGTAGGTTTTACTGGCAAGCTGTTACTTGTTTTTTTTTATACATACTAACTATGCCAGTATTAATCTGTTGGTATACATTTTAAGCTAGACTGAATATGTATAGAAATTCTTTTTTCATTTTTTAAAACAATGGCCTAAATTTATAATTTTCAGCTTGGATAACTATTGTTTTCATTGTACCAAGATGGACTGAGATTAATAAATCATTGATAATCTGTAAATTTCCATATATCAATGTTTACAATATGTGCCTCTTTACACTGTGGGTAGTAGTACTCCTTTCATGCATGTGATTATCAGTATTGAACATAACTAAAAAAAAAAATTAACGATTATATATTTTTTTTTTGTTAGGGTATTTTAAATTTAGTTCTTTTTTTCAGTCATTAATAAGCCTGTAAATTGAATTCAGTCAACAATGATCTGCTTAGCCTTACTTTATAAACTGTTAACAGTTAATATTCCCCATATTTCTTATTTTTATTTCTTCTTATTAAAAAAGGATGCTGAAATATTCTTGGCCTGATCCACTTCCTAAAATCACTATTGAAGTGATCAAACATTAGAATACTGGCTTGGTGCAGTGGATCTGACTGATAAATTTTCAGCAATCCCTATTACATGACTTACATTTGCAGAGAATTGCAGTTTAGGTTTTTGACAGAACAGAGAAACTGTTATTATTGAAGCAGATTAGAATGGTTCAACTATAGTGGTACACAACTATAGAGAAACCTAAGTACCATCTGCTAGAAATGTTTTGTCTCTTTAGAACAAATAAACCAGGTGATTTTAGTATTGGTCATCTCTCCAGTTTGATTTCCAGTTAGTTCAACTGTGATGAGAGCCTAACATTTTAGTCCTAAATACTTGGATTAACTTGCTCAGACAATATTTGGCTGGTTCTCAATGGCAAGTGATGACTGACAGAGGATACAGATAATGACCACCATAATTTAAGCTGCAACTAAACAAGCAACAAGTGTGACTGACTGGCAGAATGAAATCTGTTCCTCTTCACTCAACTCTATGAAGGTGGGACAGATTTGAAGGGTGCTTGTTGCTGTAGTCCTACCTACTTGTTATTTGATGTAGTTGCATGATAAAAAAAGCG